CTCAATAGACTGAGACTAAACTAACATTAAACACCTTTATTACAGCAAATTAAAGGGCAGAACACTTTGAGCTTCTGGCTGGGTGACTTTTCAATAAAAGTCTTTGTGGAATAAAGCTCTGCTGCTATTATATGCATATATGCTGTATTTTAGTCCCCCTTTTTAACACGTTTTGACAAACAATCCCAGCATTTCTTGTTTTTTTTGTTTTTTTTACCCTTCAGCTAGCTAAATGTTTTGCCTTTCTTTTTCCTGTCACTGCCGTAAACAGACATATAAATTCCATTTGTGATTGAATTTTCATTAACTATTGAGTTCTGAAATTAGAATCTCGCAAAAAAAAAAAGCATCTGACCAGATGGAACATGGCGTTCCTGACTCTTCCGACTCATCAGTAACATATAAACACCTGTGCTTAATGCTCTCGTCCCATAGGTTGGCACAGACACGTTTTGATTGAGGTGACCTGTTTTGTTTTAATGATGGATGAGTTAATTGGGTAATTAACTCAATAACAGGTGTCTGTAATTGCTCAATGCTTTGGAGACTGAAGCTTACGGTTCATTTTTGCCCTTGTATGGCATCGATGGACGGAGATGTTCACAGTTGGCTGAGGGAGAAAACGGTTTGAACAGCCGGGCTTCACACTGTATCATCTCACTATGTTCAATGCCAGTGAAATTAAAAGTTCATTTAAAGTAAAAAAAAGAAAAAAGGCAGATTGTATGTGAGGGGGTTTCTCATAAAAAATGTACAACATTTATGGTTTGTTAAATATTGCCATTTTAATTTACCGCTATGCTAATATACAGTATTGCAGTTGAGTTTAGTCCTGTAGGTCAGGACTTTACGTAGTTAATTTAGTTTTTCCTCACTGATTTTCCTTTTAGGAGTAAAACTAACATTGATCTGTCACGGCTTTTTGAGGGCCCCACAATACAGATTAGCAACATAACTGGCGAATCCTTGTGATTTAAAACACTTAAATCCTCCTTAAATCACTTTTTTATTTAGAATTAGCATCACAAACAATAGAAAGAGGGAGGAAGGTCATGTTTTTTCTTAAGAGTATTTTACTTTACTCTCTGTAAACACCTGAACTGTCTTGTCTTTAAGTAACTATCTACTTTATTCAGCTAAGAAGCTAGCTACCATTTTGTCTCTGTTAAACTGAGTTATCTTAAATATTTTTAAACAAGCTGAAAGAATACTAGCAATAAAGTTCTTCCTCCCTCCTGTTTAATGTCAACACAGCAAAGGTGGATTCTTTGAGTTTTTGGTTTTAGTTGTAGCTTAAATGAAATGCATTCAAAATATTCAACTCCATGTTCTTTTGGTTTAAACCTGAACTTTTCCCTTCATTATCTGCATTGTACATACGGCAAGCAATTGCATTCAGTGATAAGTGGATGTAAAAATACATCTTATTCATTTAAAATGTCTTCATGCATTTTTCAATTTACAACACAGTAGGGTTTAATCAGCCATCATCCATGTAGCTTTCAAGGTTCTGAAACATGGAGAAAAGAGTAAGGAAGCTGAAGGAGTAAGTCTAATGACTCTCACACCAAGGCCAGAGTTTATCTAATGAAGTGGGCTAAAAACACTGCGTTCAGGTATTTCAACACTCTAACAACTACTAGGCAGAACCTTTCTCTGCTCCAATTATCTTTGTAAAAGAAAAGAAAAATATGCTCCTGTATTTTTATTTATTTATTACATTTTTATTGCACACCAGATTGTTGGCTTGTTTGCAGCCCCTCGCTAATTTGCACCGTTCTTTGTGGATTGTGAATGTCGTTATTGTAATGAGGGTTGTGCATGATGCTCTGCGTTGTTATTCAGAAACGTATTCGCCCAACTGGTTTCAATTTCACCAGATTGCAATTTACCACAGTTTTTTTTAGCATTTATTTCAAAAGCATATTGCAACATAGATATGATATACAGTATGTGATGTAGATGCTTGGTGTCAAAATCATAAACACATTTTCTTACGTTTTGTTTTTCTTTTCTCTTTATTTGGTTTTACAAATCAGTCGTGATCAACAAAATTTCCCTTTAGAAACAAAATAAACTACAAAGAAAAAACGATGTTCACAGAATAACAATTCATTAAAAATATGTACTTTAAAAAGTGTGACTGAATAAATATTGCACCCCATTTAAGTTACTGACCTAATTCAACAGAGGTCCAGTTAGTTGCTGCTAGCGGTCTCAGTGAGTGGAGATCACCCGAGTCCATCTCAAGTGATTGTAGCCCCTGTGTCTGGAAGGTTCATTCACTGATTAATCAGTACTCTTGGCTACAATTACAGCATGAAGACTGAAATACACTGCAACCAATCAGAGAAAAGGTTATTGAAAAGTATAAGTCAGGGGATGGAGACAAAACAAATCTCTAAGGCTCTGAACATCTCTTGGAGTTCATTAAATTCATAGTCAATAGTTGGAAGGATGACCCACGTGTAGATCACAACCTGATTGGAGAGAGTTGACCCCAGGTCACCATGGTTACACCGGAGGAGCTACAGGCTTCAGCAGCCGAGATGGGAGAGACTCTGCAGACAATAACTATTTCCCTGGTTCTTCACTATTTCATTTTCAGTTCAGTTTATTTACAACAAATGTCTCAGAACACTTAACCAAAAAAAATAAAATAAAAAATAGTAATAATAATGTAAATCGGTCACACACAAATTCCAATTGATCCTAGAAACACTTTTTTTGTCTATTGAGACCCAGCAGATTGCATTGAGTGATAAATCGGTGATAAATTTCAACAAGCGCCTGACTTGTGTCGCCAACTTTACAGCAATCTCTTGTACAGAGTGAGCAAGTGGTGACAGTGGAGAGCAAAAACTTCCCTTAACAGGAGGAAACTTCCAGCAGAACCAGAACCTGGCTTAATGGGAGCGGCTATGTGCCACAATGACCGGGGGCTTGAGATACACAAAAAAAGACAGAAGAGCTGATCTAGGAGCACTTTCTATGCTAATGAAAAGCAAAAGAGGGCATTATAGAAGAGTGGAAATGAGAAAGACATTGTTGATGAAAACTCAGATTAAGAGTTTGCCAAAAGGCATGTGGAGACAATGTTTTCTAGTCTGATGACACCATAATGGAGTTTTTGGGCCATCAGACACCAATCACCACAAACACACCAGTATTATGCTGAGGGGATGCTGCTCCGCTGCAGGCTGAAAGTAGAAAGTAGAAGAAATGCAGCAAAATATAGAGAAATCCTGAAAAAGACTTTGGTTCCATCTGAATTGAATTACAGCTACAACAACATGACAGATGCTCTGGAATGGCTCAGTCAAAGCCCAGACCTCAATCGGATAGAGTGCAATCACTTATTTTATGTGAAATATTTTTATTTAATTGTCCTTTTATTGTAGAAATCAATTTTCCCTTTTAGATTAAAAGAGTTTTTTTTTTTTTTTTTTGTAGGTTTTTGGTCAAAAAGGCCAAGTTGAGTTAAGCATCCAACAGGGTGAACAGTTTTTGGAAGCACAATAAGATTGAATTGATCACATTCTATTTAGATTAATTTTGTCACCTAATAAAGCCAGTTGAGTCTATTTAAATTTTTAATTTGTAAAAAAATACACTCATGCTCTCTGAAGTTGGCCCAACACATCAAAATCCAGTCGTCACACACATTGAAGTCTGCAGTTGTAGCATAATTTGAGCGAAGTGATGACATCAAAATGTCCTCAACGACGCGAAGCGGTCCTACGAAGGAGACGAAAATAAAACCATGGACAGACGGGTCTTACTGGAACCAGGGTTAACCCGGCTCTGCTGCTGTTGTTTGCTCAGCGTTAGGGAGACGCACGAAAGCATCAGAGGCAAAAAGATTTCCACGGACGTGCATCTCTCCTTCACAAGGCTCCTCAGAGGCCTTTTCACTTTTTCTGTCCAAAAACAACAGGATGATTAAATTCTCATTATAACGCGTGGAACGCACTAACAGCAGAATTTGTAATACGTTATGGTTGTGTCATTACCCCCAAAAGCCGTGATTGGTTTCTGACATTTGGGTGTAATTGAGTTATTTGATGAAAGACGTTTTCTGTTCGATAATAGCATTTGGAGCATTTGTGAAAGTGGTGAAGTCATTTGGCAGCCAGCAGGCACTCAGGTCAGCGAGTTTAAAACAGAAAATTGGGAAGATGCTCTGCTTTGTGTGTCTGGGGGTGGTTTGGGAAATATTCCCGCAGAGAACAACAGGAAACACCAAAATGGGGGGAAGGAAAAAGAAATAGGGAAATAGGGGAAAAGAAAAGAAGGAATAAAAATGTCCATTAGAACCACTTTGTCACTCCGACAGATTACAAAAGAAATCCTGCGAAGTCAAAAATAAAAAATTAAGCTTCCTTCATGACTAATAAATATTCAGAGCGACATCATACTGTGCCAATTTCTTTTCACTGAAATTGTATGGAGTGAAAAATGAAGCGCCAAACACTAATAACAATTTTTGAGGGGGATTTCTTAAAGAACAGATGGTTTAACATTTAAATATCGCATCACATTAACTGCACTATTCTATAATCACTGGAAAAACAAGGAACCCAGACCTTTGATTTTGGTGTAACACGTGGGTGTTGGATGTGCAAATAATTCTATTTCCAAGGAATGACTAGTCTTTTTTGGCCTCCAGGGGGCAGACTTTATGGAATCAGAAATAGTGCAATCGTTTTTGTAATAGAGACTAGAACATCTCAAATGTTATGAAAATATTTGGTAAGATTGAGTAACAGTGATTCTCTCATATACGGGAGTTTTACACCGACCTTGTTTTGGGTTCACATCGCATCAGGTCTGGTGTTCGTGTCAAGCTGTCATTTTCTCAGCAGGTGGCACACACTTTGGGATGACATGACAAAAAATTGTGCATCCTTGTGAAGTAGATGGAAAATAATGCAAAGTATCAACATTTTTGCAAATCAAAGTCTGAAGAGGGCTTGTCGCTTATACAGCTCTGAAAAAAATGAAGAGCCTACTGCACTGAACCCCATTGAAAACCTCCTGGTTATTTTACCAGACATTGATTTCTGAACTCTTCCTGAGTTACAATATTAGTATTGCTGTTTCTACATTTCTCTGAAATTTCAGCAGAGACAATCACAAAATGGTATCAATTTTACCCAATCGCTAACATTTTCTTGTGATGTATGTAATGTGACACTATGAAGCTTACCAGAAATTGCCTCTGCTGTAACAAATGTCCCCTACTTTGAAGAGATAGGAGCTAAAACTAAGGTAGGCTACATTTCTTTAGCGCAAAAAATCAATGTCCTCGTCCACTACTTGTCCTGTCTGCTGATTGGCCCAGTTGAAATTCCACCGAGCCGGTTAAATCCAGCTCAATGGGAGAAATCCCAGATGGAGGAATTAGGGAGATGAGAATTGTATATAAAGGCAATGGTCAGGCACGTTAGATAAAAAAAAACCCCATAGAAACTTGGGTTTATAGGGTTTCACCCAGAACTACACCAGAGCAATCTGGATCCAAACCTAACGCCCGTCCCAGTCAAAGTCAATACTCAAATCAAGTTGGGAATCTGTTTCTGCACTTGCAAGTTGCTGTCATGTAGTTGTGTGTTTCCAAGTCCAACATCAATAACGAAATAAGTTTTATCGCTGAGGTTTTAGTTTGTGAAAATGCTTTGCTGATTTAGACCGAAGCGGCCGTGTGGGTGTGACGGATTCAAAAAATGTCTATGATCACAAAAACAGAGCGACTTTCAAAAAGACAGGGTTTAATTTGCTTGAACCAGCATCAAGGCCTTGCAGCAAAACAAGCGCTAAGCTTTGTTGGGTGTTTGATTTAGGATGTTGTGGGTCTCTGTGTGAAAAAAAAAAAAAATAACCAGGAGTAATCATGACTAACTGTCAGTGTGTGTATAGGGGTATTTATTTCAACCCCCTCTACCTCCCCATCCTCCAATCTCGAATCCCCACTTAACACTGTTACACTGTGTTAGTGCCTGCTGGACTGTTATTGAGTTTGCATGTGGTCACGCAGCCTTTAGTCTATAGAGCTTGACTTGTGTGTTTTCATTGCTCTCACCCTTGCCTTTGTTTGCCTGCCACTGACCTTTCATCATAGTTTGAGTCAGAGTAGGAAGTGCTGCGGGCTGACAGGAAACTCTGCGTTCCCGGCCCCTCTACCCAACTCTGAAAAATGTCATCCTGCAATATTAACAAGCACAGGCAAAATTTTGATTTTAAATGTGAAGCGAGGCAGAGACAGCCCTGGCAGAGAATTCTTGACAGAGGCCAGGTATCTCTTAGGGAAATACAACACAAAGTTATGCTTCACAAAGTTTTTTTTTATTTTTTAATCTCACCAAAGTTAAACACCCAATAGTCCGGTAGACTCTGTTCGATCGGGGACTAAAATGGCAACATTTGCAACATTTTCTGCTTGTGCGTTTCGCTTTCACACTGCACTGCATCAAACAGTTCAAACGCTTTGAGAAACCTATTCCACCTTTTGCCTGTGGGGGCACTGCAACACGAACCGCTGAAGGAAACGTCACAATAAATGCCACAAAATGTAAACAACAAAGCAGAGGCGTCAGATTTTAGAGGTGGTGGGATTACATTTTTGTCGTTGGAAAAAACGACAATGAGCCATTTCTCCTGCAAATGGTAGACACCCGCGTTTGTTTTGGTTGTATTTACCCAGAATGCCTTCCACTATTGTCCGCTTCCTAATTTTAGAGCGGCCTCTGGTCCACTTGGTATTTATATGTGCATTCAAACCGCACCAGAGTTAAATTCAACCCAACCAAAGCCTAGGTTTTTAAGTAGACCACAGTTCGCTTTTCTGATTCACATCAGAGTTTGTTTACGCATTCACACCTCCATGAACGAACTGGATTTACTTGGCAAAAGAACTATAGCTCGGTTAAAGCGGACTAAACAGGGCTGGTGTGTACACACACTTAGAAGGATGAAACTCCTGCTAATCTAAACACGGCAAGCAAGTAAAAAAAAAAAAAAATACATACTTGACCTCGCTTGACGTTCTTCATTAAGGTCATGGGAATTTTGATTCAGCTGTTACCTGATAATGTTAAAGCCTGTCTTCATGCATTTATTTAAACCATAACATAACCAGAATGAATATGAAAATTTCTCATTTAGGAAAACTCCTTCTTTATGCCTGAGAACGGCTTATTAGAAACTCATAAGAGTCTAATTTGTGAAAGCCTGCACATTTCAGGGTCTTTGAGTCTTTTGTTTGTGTTTCAGAGTGTCCACTGCTGGACACAATGGGATCTTAAAACCTAATCCTGCTTCAGACTTGGCCTTGACCAGGGATCCTACACCTTTGTTTTGTTGTGTTCCACTAAAAACTTGGGTGACTATTCATTTTTCACAAAAGGTAAGAGCATCTTGTTATAAAACAGAAGTTTATTACAGCCATTACAGGTTAACCACACAGGCATTGCTTGCAGAGTTTAATACAGCGCAGCTAAAAAAAAAAAAAAAAAAAAAGACCAGGCAGAAACAGCAAAAATGGTTGTGCTGGATGTCTCCTTACGATAAAAGCGAAAGTTTTCCTTCCACTTGCATGCTCAGAATGTGGGAGTGAATAAAGGGAAAGAAATAAAGCATTTGTTCCCTCACATAGGATGGATTTATACCACATACACTTCTCATACACAAAGTTCATTCATGTAAGTCTTGTTGCTTTTATTCTGAGCAGGAAAACGTTTGCACACATATGTGCGATCGTACATAACATTACTGACTTGAGCTAAATCAAGCTAAACAGAGGATCCAACAAAACCAAGAAACAGGTGAATGTAAATACACACAGGGAGAACAACCAAGAAACCAAAAACAGCTGCATCCATAAGAGGAGAAAACTGAGAACAAAAACCAGGATCATGACAGCAACCCTCCGCCCCCTCAACGGCGGATACCAGATGCCAAAAACGGAACCAAGGCCGGAGGGAGGGTAACAAACCAAAACAAAAACACTCAGTTCTTAACGCCGCCTGTGGCTAAAGTAGGAGGAGCCCAACAATGACTGGACTCCCACCAAACTGACGACAGTCCCCAGTCACCAGGTCGGGGGAGCGATGATGCATTAGAG